GTTGCTTCACTAGTTCAGGTTTACAAGTTTCACTCTGGTGAGACCTGTGAACTCTTGTGGAGCTGGAGCAAGCTCGTCAAGCCATCGTGGTAAAACCTGTTAACTTGAGAAGAAGCTTTCTAGAAGGGCGGCCACGTCGATGGGAAGTAGCGAAAATGCAAGTGCCCCCCCACCCCCCGTCGCCGAACTGCCCTAATGGGTAAAGGCTTGTACTCCTCAAAATTAGCCTATCACTACGGCCTGAGCTCTTTCCTCCAGTATTTCGATCTTCAAGAGGCTATTTTTGTGGTTGAAAGCGAATGTATGCTACCTAGCAACAAGGTACTATTTCCCGTGAAAAGCTCAATAAAACTTTTTAATTTATTTGATTAAAAAATGCAACTGAGAACGTCCTTTGTGCATTTTGAGTCTAACAAAAGGCAGTTATTGATGTTGGACAAATAATAAATTGAATCTATAAGATTTTTCACTGGAGACACCTGTTCGCACGACCGCACTTTTTTTTCAAAGTGACGGCAGACGAATGTGATAGAGCGCTAACGAGCGCTCTATTTTGCTCTTATGCTAATTGCGCCGTTAAATTACTTGATTGGATTACTCGCACCATGTTCGTTACATATCTGCTTCATGCATTTCAACGCTACCAGCAACTCGTCCGCTTCTATTCATTTTGACTTATCAGCATTTATTTTGGTTTACAAAATTATCAACAAAAATGACCATGATGTAACTGAAAACAATCTCCATACAAAACTTGTTTTTTTTAGAATTTCTTCTCATTCCCGAGGTATTGAAATAGAAGAAAAATCTTGTTTGGATAAAAAATAATTTTCAGAACAAATTATAAAATAACTCCGCATCTGATACGTGCTCCCCTCTCTAGCAACTTAGCACGGCCCCCTGATGGGACTCTCCCAACGACGCCACACTCTGGCTGAAATTTGAATGCGTACTATTAAAATAAAAAATTGCAATTAAATAATTTTCAGACTCAAAGACAAGAAAAACATGAAAAGTAATGGATACAGTAAATATATTGAACAGTGGTGCATTCGGGTTGGTCGGGGCATTTTTCTGATCCTAATCGATCGCTATCGATGCCCCCGTGGAAATCAGAAAATTAGTGTAAAGCTATGCACCAGCATGAGTTTCGTCTAGACAAGGTAGGAGTCTGCACGTCTGACCCGTGGGAGACGTATGATCCAACAAGGACTCGCAACAGAAACTAGCGAAAGTGCAAAGTGCCCCTCCCAAGCCGGACAGTATCCTAAATAGTCAATAAAGTTCCAGTGGTACCAGATACCAGGATTTCTTCCATTTCATGAATTCATCAACAATAGCTATCGTAAAGTTTCCTAGTAACGAACAAAACTCCTACCCTCTAACCGGTACTTGAACAAGGGCCTCGAAATTCCCGGACGGTTGCTAAGCTTGACACCACTGTCAGCGCACCAAACAGAGGGCATGAAGTCCACATGTGATTCCTGGCTGAGGCAGATGAGTGGGAAGGCACTTTTCTACACAACCCAGGTTCAGCACTGAGCGGTCCCTAACACATGCTTCGCAACGCTCCACTTCCGAGATAGGGCTCCATAGAAGCGCGCGACACGGCGGTTCTGGTGAGCAATCCTCAGATTTCGTGCGCTTCACCAGAGGTTTCACAGTGGTCTTTAAAAGCCCAGGTGCAACACTGCAGAACCTCTAACCTTTTTTCTGTCGGAGCGGGACAAGACCTTGAAATAACTTTGTCCGGCAAAAATCGTTGCGAACAGTGATATGTTCAGTCTTATTCGCTGCAGATGCATGTCAGGAGGCTAGGTTTGGCGCGGCACCAGCTCCGTTCTGCACCAGCTTTTGTTGAAGAGGACATGCACAACATGGCGGAGAAAGGGCTGGCACGGCACAGTCTTCAAGCCTCCTCCTGACACCGCCGCAGCGAACAATACTGATATATGATTAAAGTCTTATAACAACTAGATCCAGTTGAGTAAACTTATGTGAGTCAACTTCCGGGCCAAACCGAGATGCTACCGTTTACGGGATGATTTGACAAAAACTCTGAAAACTACCGTCCCGATTCCGATCGGCATTAATTCCTTTCCCACTTCCATCCTTAACTGATGTTGAATCGTCTTTTAGTTGGTTTTAATGTGATCCAAATCATTGTTGTCGGCTGTTGCTTGTTGTTTCTAGCATAAAATGCCGTTGGTAAAGACTAGATGGTTTGAAACCTAACTGCTTTCCAATTTACAGGGGGGGGGCAAAAAAAGTCACTTCGACCGAGTCACATATCAGCAAAGTTTTCGCTGCCCAGACAGAGGACGTGGATACGAGTACCAGGGCGGAAGATACCCAAGATGTTCCTCTATAAGCAGGAGCTGGCTCTCGCCCATCACATTCATACCAAAATATGAAGTCATCTCCAGTCGCAGCCTGACTGGAGAAGACTTTGGAATTCATGTCACCTCCAAACAGCTGCGAAACTTCTAGTATGGAGTCACCCATGGATAGCTACCTGGAGACCAGTACTCTCGATCTGGAAGACCTCCAACATCGAGCAGCTCCGACAACGTCGCCACCGTTCTAGGACATCATCTTCACCACAGTCGTCAAGGCGCGGTTGATGTATGGAACTGACTACCTTGGCATGGAAACACCAAATATTTTCTTCATGGGCCCCTGTCTGTAGGTGAGCGCTGGCGGTTACATCGAGCAACTCGTGAAGATCCTCCTCACATGTCGTCGCCCGTACCGCCCTTGCTTGGAGAATTTTGTAACTGGCTACACGCATTGTGCCACCACATGCGCTGTAATCGAAGGCATTGGAAAAACTCTCACCCATATTGGAACTGCGAAGGCGGCATGAATACACCTAAGGAAGCGTGGAATATCCAAAGTAGGGGCCACTTGACCTAAATCCCTCAATTACCGGTTCGGGCGAGTCTGGAGTGGGTCTGGCGGGTGGCAGAGCAAACGATAATCATGCTGATCTCAGGCACCACATCGCGGTCGCATGCCAGAAATCTTTCGTATGACGCTCGTGCCAGAAGTATGCGCGGGTCGCACTGATGTTTTAACATCGCTTTAATATGGTAGGCTAAAAATGCCCGGATCAGAATTTTTTTTTTTTTTTTTTTTTTTTAAATAAAGTGTAACTTATCGCGCGTGCGAAAGTCAATGAGGATAAGTAACTTTTTTTTGGCCCCCCTGTACTTCCACCCGTGAACCGTTCTTTGATCCCTTTCAAGTAACATTTATCTGGCCATTTTCATCCAGTCCCCAGCGCGTCCCACTTCGTACTGACGTATCCATGCTTGCACGAGAATTCATTCCTCATTCTCAGAACAAGTGCTTTCTTTATGACTTTACAGTGTGAGTATGAAATTTCAGTCGAGTTTTATCTCTGTCTCAACGTTGGTGGATGTCCCCGCGTCTGTCCCCGATACAACACAACCTCATCTTTTGCGATGTTGAAAAATATGTATTGTTCCAGAAATTCCCTCATTTCGTGGCCAATCTCTCGTTTTGATTTATTCTCCTATAAGATGCGACGCTGCTGTAGAAATACGATTAGGTTGTAATAAATGTGGTGAAGGATGAATTGGGAAGAGGAGGCGGATCAAATGGTGTCATTGATGTAAACGGGAGGGAAGAGCTGCAGTAGTTGCGTCCATAAACCTTCGGAAGGTGCTCAGTCCCAGATTCCTGTCCACATCCGAGCTGAGGTATCGCTTCTCTACTAATTCACCTAGTCCTGATATCATTCACATCACTCCAGCGTCCAGAAGGCTCAGTTGGCCTGAGTGGGATTCGATCTCTAGGACAAGATAGCCACTATATGTAGATTGAGATTACTGCTGGGAGCGAAAGATGCTCCTAATAGGTAAGAAAGGAGCCTCGTCCATATCAAGGACTGGGCATGAAATCTATCAAAAATCAGTTTTTTGACTCCCGTTCAGAATCTCCAAGGCATTTGGGCGACTAGCTTACCACGACCAGTGCTTGCCAGCCAACGTGAGATTCAGTGCACTCAATCTTATCCAATACAAGTTCCCCTTCTCTGACCGGCTCTCCTAGGCGAACTCAAGAAAGGTGCAGAGGCGCTATTACTGTGGGAAGCTCAGTGACGTTTGAGGGTCCCCGGAGCCTCCTACCTCCTTCCTTTTTGTTTCTCGCTCTTTCTCCTTCCTCTTCCTTCCTTTTTCTTGGATCTTCCCGTTTTCCTCTTTTCGAGTGCTCGGCTAGGAAATGCAATGAGAAAATACATCTGAATTTTCACAGCTTTAGAACATCCGGTTGACAGAAGCCCTGTATCCGTTTATACCTCCTTCCACCCTCCCGACTGATAACTTTATTCCGGGGATTCGGAGGGAAAACTTTGGGTCTAGCTGAACATTGAGGGCAAATAGAGACGTTGTTGATTCTTCGTAAAAGAAATTATTGAGCCCGCAATGTCGTAGAAAGTTCAGAAGGATTCTAGTCCAGTTAAGGTCGAAGTAATAAGGCATTTCAATTCCATCTGACAGAAATGGCTGCATGTGTGCGATCGATTATCGATTTTCTTGTTAGTTCGCAAAACTTACATAGTCTCCGAATGAAAATCGATTTTGTGTTGCTTCATCTTCAAGTGCATTCATCACTTCCTTTCGCTCCAGGCACGCTGAGAACATTTTCCTGACAGATGTTGTCTAATTTAATGTTATCTGTGGAGTGTTTCTTTGCCGCAGTTTGGTAACTGGTGCCAATCGATATATCGATTTCTACTGTAGGCTTGTCTGATCTTGGCAGCGAGTTTGCGGAGCGCTCAGCCTTCTTCACATTATTGCCTCCAGATTCTGTTTGGATGTTTAATCGTGCTGCTATTGCGACTTCTCACGTATTCATGAACTTTTCGTGAAGTTGTGTGTAATCGATTATCGATTTTCCTGTGCTCGAATTTTTTCAATTTCAGTGAATGCGCAACGCATAATTATGACAAATGTGATATGATATGATAGCAGATGTTGCCCATATGTCTATATTTTCTATTAGCAGTTGTTGAAGCAGGTAAGAAATATTGCTAAAATATCTGGAAGTAATTTAGATACGTATTGATTGATTCTCCAGGTATGTACCGGCAAAATCGCTGCTACAGCTGCATGTCACCAATGTATGAAGAATTCTTTAAGAATGGCTTGGACAGGTGAGATGGACTTCTTGCTTTTATGCGGGTGGACGAGTGACCCGTATGTGGACGAGTTGTCACGTCATATTCTAGGTATTTCACTCCGCCCAAGAATTTTTCTCATCAGTGTGATGAGCCGATGAATCCCGAATCAATGCATTTGGTGTCATGTCGGACGATATGCTTGACTGTACAGCAGGACCTTTATGTGATGGGTTAGTGATATTCAAATGACGCTATCTAACAGCACTTGTCCGAGTAACTCCCAATTCAGGTCAACCAACCGGCAAGCGGTTGTTTATGCGTGGATGTGCCCTTACGATGGCTAGGAGGGGACTCAACAACCATACGCTTAGCATGTTCGATCGATATGACATTTGCAGGTACTGTAAGAGAAGTTATTTGGGCAGAAGACCACTTCAAAACCTGCTGTCAATGAGCGACTTGAAAGGAATTCAGTAGGATTCCACAAATTCTGGAGAAAGACCACTGTTTCTGTGGGCTCTACCAGGAACAGGACCCACAGTAGTATTTAGGGATAAAAAATGCCACCTTCATAGTA